GCAGTTCATGTTCCATTTGCGACGCTCCCCATTCCTGCAGGTCTTCAATAACAGCCCAGATGAATCTTCTTATTACCGTCACCACTTTGCTAGGCAAGATTTGACCCAGTCTCTCATTATGATCCAGCCCATCCTTTATGCTTATTCTTTCCATGGGCCTCCTGAGGTAAGCCTGTGTTTAACAGAAAGAGGTGGATCAAACCAAAATAATGAGCATTCAGTCAGAATAACAATAGTTTGTCAAAAAGGCCACTGTGTGTTTTTTTTAATCAAGGTTATTGCTAGAGGATGACTTGGGATGATGTAAAATATACATTATATTTTCACTAGGCTTTCTTTCAGTATGTAAACCATATTTTCAGTAGGCTTTTTGAACGCGCACACATACACAGCAAAGAAAAAACACCAAAAACCAAACACCTGGTGAATCTTGAAGCTCTCAGTAGCAATTCTGTTTCTCTGCAAAGGCTGCCTCCTCCACTGTGTAAGTCAGCAAGCCTCAGCCCTTGCAGGTCATAATCTCTCACCAGCTGCTTGTTTTCAGCTGTTTATGCAGCACTGTTAAACTGCTGGACAAACTGGCAGCTACCTTGAGTGGAGTGTGTCTGGCAGGAAAGAAATGCAGAAGCTGCTGGAGTAACACTTTAAAACGTTCTTGGAAGCATTTGCCAAAGTCCATGCTTTTTTTTTTTTTTTTAACTTTTGCTTAAGATCACTTCAAACTAAATTTGATAGCCGTAGAAATTGCTTTCACACGCATTTCATACAGTAGCTGAGGACCTGCCGCTCCATTCAGTGATGCCCCAGGAGGCTGATGGTACTCTGCAAGGCATTCTCATGGGCTGAGCAGTCCTTGACAGTCTCCTCTGTACACGCGTGGCTGAGCAAATGGTTCCCCCCCAACTGTGAAAGTTAATACAGTTCTGAGGACGAAGTGTAGTGACTGACCTTTGTTTTCTGCAGCCGGTGCTTTTGGACAGCAGCAGTATTCTTCCTGACAGAATCCTACTGATGGATACCTTCTTCCAGATAGTTATTTACCTTGGTGAGGTATGGTGAAATGCCTTCTCGCTCTCTGTTTGCACTCTTCCTTCTGCCATGCAGGCAAACAAGGTCACTGTTAGTACAAAACAAACTGCTTGCAAAGCCTACGCTAGCAGAACGACATCACACACATGTTGCCAGTTGTAAGGCACAAAAACCCCACTGGAGTAGCTAAGGATGTGTTCTGCAGTGAGCAATAGCTGTCCTGTTAGCTTGGTAATGCAGGTGAACTTTTCTTGCTGTGCCTGGAAAAGGCCAGAGAAGGATGAAACTCAGCAGGGCAGAGGGAGCTGCAGCGTTTTTCATCAGATACGTGACACAGTTGGTTCCTGGGTTTTGACACTTAAATACTGCTACTCTGAAAGAAGTCAGTTATGAATTTTGGCAGTTTCTGCTTGTAAATATTGGATGATCTTGAGGTCTTCTCTTGCATTCCTTCCATCATCACTGATATAAGCACTTAGGTGCGGGCTCCTTCTGAACCTTCAGATTTAGGTCAATATCCAAAGCCTTGAAGCTGGCTTGCTTTCCTCTTCTTTCTCTGGAAATATCACTTTTATTTGATGTCTTTTTAACCCCCCTCATATCCTTGCAGTCCTGCTTGGTGAGTAGTCCACATGCAGTTTCTTCTACCTAAACATGAAATTGAATTAGAATTTAAATGAACTCATCTTGGCTTATGGTCAAACATTCCTATTAGTTATTTTTTTATTGGAGGAGGTGTCTTAACTCTTCCCTTCATTTTTGAACTGAGCTATTGATATTTAATGACTGTTATTAGAATGCTTAAATTTTGGTATGATAGCTTGCAGCAGCTCCATTATTGGCTCCCAACATTCCTCCACGTAGTGTTTGTTCTCTCTGAGAAGAGAGCAGGGATATGCAAGTGACATGAGCAGGAGTTGAATGGTGGAGTCAACAACAATAAATCTCCCAAAGTCACCTTAACCGGTGTCTACCTATCTTAAATGTTCTGAAGTAACACAGCAGCTGGGTAAAATTAGACAAGGGAAGAGTGAGGTGTGTGATCTGCCTATGTGTGGAGCAATTGTCAGTTACCAGTGTCACTTGAAAATGGTGTAGTACTGTGGTTGCTTTGTTTAAGACCAAGTCAAATTCCAAATGTCAGTGATTTTATAGCTGCTTGGTACTTTTATGTCAATGCAGGCTGACACATAATGGCTTGCAGTTTTCTTTGAACAAATTGTTCTTGTATTGCACAGACTGCTACCCAATTTTGTATTGAGTGCCTTTTCTTAAATTAAAGAACAAACAGAAACTAAACAATACTATTGACAGAACAGTGAAAGCTCGTTTGTCTCGTATTCTGTAAGAGGAAGTATGTGTGATGTTCTGCCTGAAGAAGCCCCAGTTACAAAGGGGAGGCCTGTAGACATCTCTACCACTTTTTAACTTCCTCCCTGTCAATAGACTATTGCACAGTGGCAGAAAGCTGGTTACCAAGACATGCCGGAATATGAAAACTTCAAGCACCTACTCCAAGCCCCGCTGGATGATGCCCAGGAAATCTTGCAGACTAGATTCCCAATGCCACGTTACATCCACACTGAGCATGGGGGCAGTCAGGTAAGGAGGTTTATTCAGGAACTCTTTTTGTTGAATAAAGCAAATACCTGTCTTTTCCTGCTTTACAAAAGGAGTGGTTTTGTAAGTTAAGTACAGTGGTAATTTAGCTTTTAAAAGTATAGAGCTTGTATATTTTCTCACGAGCTCTTACTGCCACTTTTGTCTTTTAATAAGCCAGTCACTCTCTTTGTATGCTTTTGAAATCTGAGAATGGAAGGTGGGGGGATTATTCCCCCCAAAAAGAGGTGGGAAATAAATGACTTGGCTACGTATCTAAGCTTACTCAAGCAAGACAGGGAGTGCGGTTAGTTTGCCGTGACCATAAGTCACACTGAGTGATTAAACATCTGTTCTTTTATTCTCGGATGCCAGATGAGGTTATAAAATAGTTCCTATTTTTGTTCTTTCCAGAATTGCAGTAGTTCAGTGCTTCTCTGTGGCTGGGTTGTTTGTAGGGGTGAAGAGGCAGGAATCCATACTCCAAAACTAAATTTTGGTGTTAATTTCTAATATTATGAGTGTTACCTTGGTTCTCCATTGACCTCTTTCCTGCAGTGCAGATGGGGACTTGCATGGGATGCTGCGGGTGACGTGGCTGTGTCACGTGGAACCAGAGCTGCCCTGCCAAGCAGGCACCGCTTGCTGCAGCAGAGCTATGTCCCTTGGGCAGACCTTCAAGGTGACATCCTTGCTTTTGAAATGGAGGCACCCATAGGGAACTGCCACCACCTGGTGGTAAACTCCCTTCCCTGCTGTTACTCTGTAGATAATGCAATTAGCAGAACTTGCAGTTTTCTTTTTGAGACAGCAGGAAGATATCCCAAGTTTTAAGTTCAGTAAAATTGTCATTGGAGCAGGCCTATTTCTGAACTTCAAACCTGTTTAAGTTAAACTAGCATGTTGCTTGTAAAAGCAGAGGAAAATCACTATTCATGTATCTAAGGTGGTAAGTCTTACGAGAGCTGACGAGGCTGCCCTTCTGTAAAAACAGTTTTCCCATGTTTTGTTTTAATAGGCCCGGTTCCTCTTGTCTAAAGTGAACCCTTCTCAGACCCACAATAACCTCTATGCATGGGGCCAGGTAAGCAATGGAAGAGCTGCTTATGTTTGGGAATGCTGTAAAATGTACATCTACGTATTTGTCTGCATAGTGGCAGTCCTGCTTCATCGCATGCTATTTGGCCACAAAGTGGCTATGTTTGTCCTGCTCTCACCTAACAGCTTTTTGCAAGACATCTGTGGTTGGATTTGAAAACTTTATAGTGCTTTGCAGCACAAAGCAGCAAGGTCGCTTCTATGCACCAAAGGATTTCTGATGGAATTACTGGCTGAGATTGTAATAGGTGTAGCATTTAAAAGACACAACTGATTTACTAGATTTGTCTAGTAAGGTTAAATTTTCATTCAATGTCATTATTTGGGTCCATAGTTGTTGATAATTGGTACTGGTGGGAGCGCTAGATGACAAGATATTCAGAACAGAATTTTCAAGTGTAGATGGCAAAACTCCTGCTTCTGTTCTTTGGTGGAACCCCTCCCCCCTGTTTTCAGCATTTTGTGCTTAGGACACAGTGTATTGTTTTGTAAGAAGTAACTAGCATACGGATGGATACATATCTAATTTTTCTGCAAATAACAGGTATTTATATTCTTGTATGTGTAGAGCTTTGGGCAGGAAACTTCCTATTGCTTTAGAAAGAAGAGGCTTTTTTGCTGTAGGTGCAGACGGCACGGAAGGATGTTGTCAGTGCAGTTGTCAAAAAGTGGTGTCTTTTGAGTAGGTCTGCCCTTTATAAGGAAAAGGTGATTGATTTAATAGGCAATCAGTGTTAGTAGACTGCTGACTTCTGATTTGGTTTCAGTTAGGCCCTGGTGCTATTTGAGACTCATTATTTTTTTAATTTGTTTGCAGGAATCAGGAGCTCCAATCCTGACAGATGATGTTAGCCTCCAGGTGTTCATGGACCACCTGAAGAAGCTGGCAGTGTCCAGTGCATCATGACTTGGATCCAACAGAGAAGCAAGAACAGAAGAGTTATGTGGATCATGGTGATGACAAAAGTGGAACGATCTATTTACATTTCCTTCTCTTTTAGAATACGGTTTTTAAATACTGAATGAAATAAATATGGGGGGAGAGTTTTGTACTTTGCCCTTTTAGATATTAATTTATTTGTATTCCTTTTTGTCTCTATTGTTCACTCCACATCTTTCATACTGTAATTAGAGCTGAAGTAGCCCTTAGCAGTCTTTACCTTATTTTGTAACATTCTTTGCTTTTAAACAGTGTATTTTAGCAACCTGCAATAACAAAAAATAAAACCGGGTTGTTATACGTGGCGGTGATAAATCAGAAGAGCCAATCTGAATTATGGTTCAGCAAAATAGAATTTATTCAAGCAAGCGATCAAGCAGATAAAACAGCGCTGGGTGGCTGGGGAGTCTCTGCTCACCCTTGCCAGAGTCCCCGTTTTCTGGGCTAGTCGTTCCAGGTTTACGTGGCACATCCTGGTTCCTGGTATCCTCTGCGACTGCTCATCCTGTTGCTAGGGGGTTGTCACGGGCCCCTCTGGTGGTCGTGGGGATGAAGGTTGTAGTCTTCCTCTGCGTTGTGGATTGTGGCCTTGCTGGTTGGAGCACGTGCAGTATGTGCCAAGGATCGTCTTTTCCTTACTTGGACATTCAACTTACTGCCTTTTATTTAACAAGATATTGGGGTTGGGGACTTTTCCGGCTATACAAAGTTGCAATGGTTGAACCATCTTGTAAGATGAACCCCTTCAGTTTGATTGACAAATTCATTATGCAATATATATTACAACCCCCCTTTTGTTTTTATTATTTTGTTCATCAAACCGAGTAATGGTTTCTCGGGCCAGGGAGAGGATGGGAGTTTCTCTATTAACAACCTTGTCATCCTCTAGGTGTTCATATTGTTTTCTTATCAACAGTAGGTGTGCTGCCTCCAATCTATTCTTTACTAATCCAATGACCTTATTCAGTATACAGGGTCCAAAGGTCAAAATAAGCATTAACAGTACCAACGGCCCAGCTATTCGCGATAGCAAGGTAGTTAAGCAGGGAGAACTCCTAAACCAAGACTCATACCATCCTTGTTGAGCTTCTCTTTCTCTTCTATGCTTTCCTAGCCCTTCCTGAATGCTGCAGAATCCCCCTTGCTGTAGGAAAAGGATATCCATCCCCCTCCTGTTCTGTAACACTACCTCCGATAATGAAGTTAGAGACTTTTCCAATGCTGTTATCGACTTCTCTGTTCGTTCCAAGTCCTTGTCTACTGCTCCTCTTAGGGAACTAAACCCTTGTTGCTGTTGGATGGGAGAAGTTATTCCAGTTCCTGCCCCCACCGCCCTAATGCCCAATAACGTGGTTATTGTAACCACTGTTACAGGTTCCCTTTTTATGATGTGATGTGTTTCAGTGTCCCAATAATCATAAACCACCCCTTCTGGATGGTATAATATCCGCAGAATAACTAGTGACTGGCATGCAGTATTCTCAAGAGGCATTAAACACTTCAGGGGATACACACGGGTTAAGCCCTGTTTTAGAACATATCCATCGAGCTCCCTCCTGAGGAATGACCCACTTTTCGTTAGTTTCATTGATAGTGAGTTGGAGGGAGCTACAAAGCATTTGCTTAGATTTTGGTACTTTGCAAACTCCTGTCCCAGAGAGGTGTTGCATGGTTATCCCGGTTTTCCTCTCTCCCCAAGAGTACTGGGAGGGTGAGGCGTCGTCAGTGCTCACTAGTTTCATTCAGGGTATCATGAGTAGCTTGCATTACTTTCCAGGGAGGGTTTTCCTCAGCTACACCTGTAGGAGGTGGTATGGTATTATCCATAACTGGGGTTACTGTGCTTGTCGCAACCGGGAGAGGTGGTATCTTTATCTCGGGTCCTTCCAGGACTTTATTAGGACCAACTCCCTGAGGGAGATTCTTTACTTTTTCCTTTTTTATAAATATTAAACCTCCTCTATCAGCCCCAGGTTCCCAGTATCTCACACCCCACGTTTGCCCTGTGAGCCAGGCAGGGTCGGTTGGATTCGTTACATTTACATAGAGTTGTTCGCAATTTCCATAGGGCATCCGAATCCCTCCGCTCCAGTCTCGGCTTGGAGGTGTACACCCGTAGGGTCCGTATCCTACAGTTAGGAACTGATCCTGCCCTGCTCCTGGACTCCAATCCGAAGCAATTGTTTCACAACCCCAATAAGCACAATAGTAGGAGTTGGGATAGTCGCAATATCCCCTTCCTGGGTTTGAGCTGGGGCAGAAGTAAAAACCCTTTTGGTTCAGACATGGACTTATGGGTGCTAGTTGACAAAGAGATGTGAGGAAACTTGGTGCACCTGCCGTAGTCACTTGCTTAATGATAGTTTGGTCATCCCACCTAATTAAACTCCACTTATAGAGCTGGTGGGGGCTCTCTTCTCCCTTTGTTACATCCAGCCAGATTATCAAGAATCCCATTACCCATACAAACCAAGTTAAGCCCGAGAAAAATGGAGGGGTCCTACCTTTACTACGGCTATCCCAGAGTTCTTGGTGGGCACTTTGTCTTTTACCCTTGTTGCTTCCTGTAGAAGGTAGGAGGCGTTGGGGAGGTACGGGGGTAACTTGGCTTGGAACTGGCATTCCAAGGGGCCTCGTGGGCTGATTTCGGAGGTGGTTCACCAACCTCGATCCCCTCAGCATTATGTCTCTGCCTCCTCCACCTACTCTTTTGCTTGGAGCAACGGCGTGTACCATCTCGGCAGCAGCCGTATTCTTCAGGGGAACCTCCTTCATCTTTAGCCTACCTTAATTAAGAGGCTTCACTCCCCTAGCTCCACACCTTATCCTGGCCACTGTCCTTCTACAGACCACTTGAAGGATTTTCTGCCTTTGTTGGGCAGAGCTTGCTTACACAGAAGCGATACTTCTCAGGGCTTATAATACCACTCTCTGGATTCCTTTATGATTTTCCCGGTTGCCACCCCCACACGCAGTACCTCTAGGAAGATACCCGTAGGAGCAATGAACCCTCCACTTTTCTTTACAAACAAAAGGATAACAAATACAGAAGTCGGCACAAAAACAAATGCAAAAATCAGCACAGAAGATAGTTTCACCTATCGGTTTTTCTCTGGAACGTGATCTTCAGATTGTCGGGGTTTCTAACAGTCTCCCAGTGAGATTCTTGGACGGGTCCCTTTATTCTACTAGCACGCGTCCATCCTCGTTCAACCGTTCGAACCGCGGTGCCTGTGGTGAGTAAAACGAGAAAGGGTCCTTCCCAATGAGGTGTCAGAGAGGATGCTCTCCAAGCTTTAATCATTACCATGTCCCCTGGCTTAATCTTGTGTATTGCCATATCTAAGGGTGGCCTCTGTACTACCATTCCCTTCTATATTAGCTCCTGTCTTCACTTCATGAGCTCAATGATTTACTCTTTTAACACCTTTTCTTCTACCTTTGGGTGTTCAACTGGTATTTCTAAATCATAAGGCATCCCATACAACATTTCAAAAGGGGAGATCACAGTATGGGTCCGAGGTTGTGTTCTCAGCCACAGGCGCCTGTACTCCCCATTGGGTCTGCCTGTGGAATTCTTTCATTATTCTCCATGCCTTTAGGAATAACTTCCCTGCCATCGGGAAGTGCCCACCTCCCTTCTTTATCAACGATTCCCATTTATTGCAGTTTTTCTGCCTCTTGGGCGGTAAAGCTCTTGCTACCTCCTGTTCTTGCTGTTTCTCTGACCTGTTCTGCTTCTTTTATTACCAGTAATGTGGTCCGTTTTGCCTCCTCATCAGCTAAGTTATTTCAAAGAGGTACCTAAATAGAGGTACCTCTTTGGTGACCTTTCACGTATACAACTGCAATCTGTTTAGGTCCTCTCAAGGCCTTCAGGGTTTGTTTTATTAGAGCTTCGTGTATCAGACCCTTCCCCTGAGAATTTATTAACCCTTGTTCTTCCCAGATTTTCCCAAAGGTGTGAACCACTCCAAATGCATAGCTAGAGTCAGTAAACACAGTCCCCAGCTTTCCTTTCAGCAGCTGTAAAGCCCTTAATACTGCATATAACTCACATGCCTGGGCCGACCTGGTTGCGTCCAAAGGACCAGATTCTTTTACCTCCGAGGTGTTCCCATCTGTTATGGCATAACCTGATTTTGGTTTCCCATTTCTTACCCTTGATGATCCATCTACGAATAATTTCTCCCCATTCGGTAATTCCTCTTACTGTTTTACCCTTATGGGGATTTCAGGATTCCTAATGGTAACTTCAAAAGGGGTGATGTCTAATTTCCCTACTGACTCAGGAGTGTACCGCACCTCAGGATTGATTTTTGCCTTGTCCTCCGCAGTGAGGGCGCATAATTTAACCGCTATTTCCTAATTAATTATATTCTGCTTCAGACACTAATAAAAAGGATCCTATTCCGATTCGAGAGGGGGCCTCTATTTCTACTCCCTTTATTACTAGGACCTTAAAAGGTTCTCCTTTCGCTCCTATTACTTGTAACTTCTCCGGGGAAGGTAAGCATCCCCGGGGCACTGTCTGGACAGTAGATCTTTCTGCCCCAGAGTCCAGACCTTGCCTCACAGGAGTGGCAGGGTAGTCTTTCAAGCCGCTCAGTGGGGGTCTCATCCTTCCTCTGATGTTCGCTAAATGGTTTGTTACTTATACTTCCCAACCTTGGGAAGTTCTGTAAAATCAACTTGCATCTTTTCAAACGGTCTCTTAGCTAGTCCCTGCCCTCTGGGTATTCTTTCTCTAACTTGCTATTTATTAACCTTTTGGCATGTTAAGCATTCTCCCACAATCTTCTTAGCAATTTCATAAATCCCAATACACATTACTGGACCACTTTAGGACTAAGTATTAGGTGGTCTCCTCTTATCCGTTTCCCACCCCACACCTGCATACAGTAACGTACCACCTTTTCTCTACTTTCACCTCGTCTGGATGGCCAATCCTCCCAGTGGGCAATCCTTAACCCCAAGGGACTGTCTGGTGGTATATCGGGCAATCCTGCCTTGGGTCCCCCATGGGGTCTGAAGGCTTGCTGTCCATACTCACTTTGCCCCTCAGGAGCATCTCATTCAGGCACATTTTGGGAATCCCACCCCGGCCGAGTGGAACCACTTACCACACTTATTTCAGTCCTGAGCCTTCGTACGGATCTTTGTGCACAAGAATTATGGCGTACTGCAGTGTTCTTTTGCCTGCTTGCCTGATTTAGGGTACAGGGCTCATCGGGGTGTCGTCCACCCGGGGGCCATCCGAGGCTGGGGGCGCCTCCCCTGAGCTTGGATCCCGTGCCAAGGTAACCCGTATCCGAGTCACGGCATCGAATTTATTGGATTGGCTTGGCCTGCCTCCTTTCCACTTCCGAAAAACAATCAGAAAGAAAAAGCAGTAGGAAGTATTAAAACTAAAACTGATCGTCTGAGCGGTTTCTTGGGGGAGGCTGTGAGGGAGGGTCGGAGGGCGGGGCGGTAATGGCGGCGCCGCCATGTCCCGCCCCTCAGGGGGCGTGAGGGGATAATGGCGGCGCGGGCGGCCGTGTGGAACGCCCGCTGGGCCTTGGTGTACTCGCTGGGCGGATGGACGGCGCTGGGCGGCATGATACACTACAGCTACAGCAGCGACGGGGCTGGGGACGGTACGGGGCCGGGAGGGCTCGCCTGAGGGGTTGGGGGTGCTGGATGTGGACCTCGGCCCTGGGGGGTGAAGCAGGGGGGGTCCGGGGGTGCTGCTGGCTCGCTGTGCCCCCCCCCGAGCTAGGTCCTCCTCAGCAGGCTGCTGGGGGGAAAGTAACAGGACTGAAATGTTCACAGCAGTGAAACACTACAGTACTAAACTTTTTTTGTTTTTCTTTTATGCCTTAGAGAATGAAAATCATCCTCCAGTAGAAGACTCGGATTCGCGGGAAGTAGTCGTTACAGATACGCCTATAGGGATAAGAGTCACAACGGTAGCAACGTATAACAAGGACTTTGTGCCTCCTGCTACCCGGCTGCTCAGGCGTGTGAAGTCTTTCTTTGACCCTACTGACAGCCCTCCTCCTGAAAAGTGAGTAGTCTGGAAAACTGAACTCTGTGCTGCTGGGGGAGAGCTGCCTTGTCTGAGAAGGTTGTCCTGGAGCATGGCATCGCACCGTCAGTCAAAAACTTTCTCTTGTTTTGATGAAACAGCAGCTCCATCACTGAAATCACTTTGCAAAACCTGTCACCTTCTCGCCTGCTTAGATCAAAGCTGTATTTGCACTTGTGTTCAAGTTATTAAATGTGAATAATTCATCTAAGAGTGGTGTGTTAATGAGCCTGTGTGCTGCCTGGTGTCCTGCGCCCTGTAGTCTGACCATGTACCCGCTGCAGCTTTTTGTGGAGATTTCCCAGCTCAGTGGTGGTGCTTGTTCTGTTACAAGCACAAAGAATGATCTGAAAGACCAAGCAAGCTTTGTATTGTGTAACGTGGCTCCAGGGGTACTGCTTCCTATAGCAAACAGCACCCCTATACGAGAGACCTGCTGTCCCCTCGCAGGTCTTTGTGGGCACTGTGTTCAGGTACGGGGACCAAGTCTTGTGATTTGACCCTGTGTGCAGCTGCCCTCAGTCCCTATACTCATTACCTTTTTCTCTGAATTTGCTAACTTTCATTTCTATAGGGGTTTCCTGTCCTCTTAGAGCTTCTGGGTCCCTTTAAAGGAGGTTGCCCCTGCCATGCTTTTGTTCATATAGGGGTATCCCTAATCCTTACACATTCTGCCTCCCACTGCTGTGACTGTAGCTTTTGTTTCTATAAGGTTTCCCCCATGTCCTTGTGGACATAGCCTACTTTCTTCAGGGACTTCTCCTGTACGCTGCTTCCCATCTGAAGGAAGCTGACTGCATCCCCTGCATATGCAGACCTTCCTTTCTGTAGGGACTGCCCCTGCCCTTGCAGACACCTCCCTGTTTCTACAGAGGCTTCCCCCTTTCCCTGTGGCCTTTTATAGGAGGATGCCCGCTTGCTGCTTATCTTTACAAAGCCTCCCCACAGACTGCAGATGCCACTTTGGTGTATAAAAAGCTGATCCCAGCCCTCCCCCCTGTCTTGTAGAGGGCTTTTATACACACAGTTGCCCCACCCCAAATTCCACAGGGGCTTTTATACCACATTGCCCCCAACTTACAGACACTAACTACTGCCCCCCCTGTTCCTACACCTACAACCTCCTCAAGAAGCCTTCAAGAAGAAGTTTCCTGGGCACCTACGGACACCGTATTCCTACAGAGGGAGTTCCTACAGAAGGCTGCTGGTACCTCCCAGCAGCTTCCTCGCCTAAAACCCTAAAACCCAGGGTTTGGGGGGTTCCCTTAGGGGTCTTCCCTCTCGGCACCACCCTCGGCGCCCCTCCAGGGCTGCCGCAGCACCTCCGCCCCGCCAGGGGACGCTGCCAGCCCCCCCCCGGGCCTCCCCTGCCCAGCTCCGCCGCCGCCGCCGCAGCCTCCCCGATCCGGGCCTCCGCTGCGCCACCATGAAGGCCATCGTCCAGCGGGTGGCACAGGCCAGTGTCACAGGTCAGTGGGCGACACCGGGACCGACAGCGGGACACGGAGCGGGGGGCAGAGGAGGAGGCGCTCCGCCCGCCCCCGCCACGCTCCGCCCGCCCCCGCCTCCTCCTCCCCTCTGTCTCTCCCCCCCCCCTCCGTGTCTCCCCTTCCACACCTCGCTCAGCCTTCAGGCTGTGTGGGGAGCCGTGGGGAAATGGGGTGAATTCGCGGATATAACTCACCTGGGGGGGGATTTTTGCGTTTGGGGGGAGTCCTGGTGCCTCTCGGTAGCGCTGCTGAGCCGGTTGTGGGCTGTGTGCGGTGTTCCTAAATGCTGGGGTGAGTGTGGTGAGCGGGTGCCTCACTCCTGAGACCCTGCATTTGGAGGACTTCTGTGATATCTTTCTGGAAGGGACCTCAGAGATCAGCATGTTCCAAGCCCCCTGCCACACACGGCGATGCCACCCACCACGTCAGGTTGCTCAAACCCCATCCAGCCCAGCCTAGAACACCTCCAGGGATGGGGCATCCACAACTTCTCTGGGCAACCTGTGCCAGTGCCTCACCACCCTCACAGTGAAGAATTATCCGTACATATCAGCAAATCATTAAGGTTGGAAAAGACCTGGTCCAACCATCCCCCTACCACCAATGTCACCCACTAAACCATGTCCCCAAGCACCACGTCCAGCCTTTCCTTGAACACCCCAGGGACGGTGATGCCACCACTTCCCTGGGCAACCCGTCCCAGTGCCTTACTCTTTAGTAAAAGTAAGACTGATAAAAAGGGTTCAGAATGATGTTTTCTGTGGTGGTTGTACAGCTGAAATTAATACTTACCTGTGCCATAAAATGAGACAATGCATTTAATCTTTGTTTTTCCTCTTCCGTAGTGGGTGGTGAGCAAATAAGTTCAATAGGACGAGGCCTCTGTGTGCTGCTGGGTATTTCATTGGAAGATACACAAAGAGAACTGGAGCACATGTAAGTCATGTATTTCCTTTTGCCTTGTACTCTTTTATTTGTAAATTTGTGACTCTGAATCAGTAATGCCTATGCTGCTAGTCAAGGAAATGAGGCACTCCTGTTGGGAAACACAGCTTTGCCAGTGTTAGTTCCTCTTGAGATTTTACCTGGAATGCAGTTTGTTTTTTAGTTGGTGTTTTCTTTTTATGTCCCATTGAGAAAGTAAGTTTTTCAACTCCTATGTGTTTTTTTTTTTTTTTGTAAAGAAGAGGAAGAATCAACGTTTTCTTTTTTTTTTTTTTTTTCTTTTTCTTCTTATCTCCCTTATTTGAATGTCCGACCTTTTTACTTTTAAGAGTTTTACCCTAGAGGACTCCATGCTTCAAGTATGGTATATATCAGAAACCTCAGACTTTTAGTTTGTGCATGACAAATTCTCCTATTCCAAAAGACTGGAAAATCCCATCAGTTATTTTTCTGTAAAGATGAATCAATTTTGGCAGCCTGGAGGCCTGGCTCTGCCATCCCTTCCATGGCCGCAAAATATTGCAATTCAGCCACCAAACACAAGAGAGAGTTCTCCAGGCGATTCTTCTGTCTCCTTCAGGTTTTTTATTGTTCTGGGGCTGATCTCAGTTCCTGTAAAGACAAAGAAGAAACAGTTAATTCAAGAAGAGGGAAGACAGTGAGGAGAATGTAAGTGAGGGTGAGAACAATGCTTAGCAGATGTGGAAGAGAAAGTACAATGTGAGAGTGCAAACTGAAAGTCAGAAGGTCTTAGGAAATTCATGGAAGATGGCAGAAAAGCTGAAGACACTTTAATCAAGACATGCTCCAGTGTCTTGTCTTTCTGTTTGTCTCTTTGGTGTGTGGCATTTAATATATTGTTTTTTCTCATTCCTGCCTTGGTGAATGACAGATGCTTTTGAATATTGCAAGTGGGTGATCACCAACGACCGTGCTCGCAATGCCAGGATGTTTGGATGGCTGACGCAGAAAAGGCAGGAAGCCGGCATCTGAAAAGAACAAATAACAAGAAATCAGCTTAACCAGGCTCTTCAAGTGCTATTAAAGGAAACTTTTGTAATCCTGTAGATGAAACAGCAAATACCTTTTTCATTAAAACACAGCTGTGATGATAATTTAAACCTATGTGCCAGGCCTTGCAAAGCTTCTAACTGTGCTTCATTCAGAAGCTGTTTCTGTTTGCCTTTGACATGCACAAATTGGCAGGGATATTTTTCTGTGACTCTGCCTTTAGTGGTGGCAAAGCCTGAAGCTAGCCCATAATAAAGTTTCACCTTTACTTCATGCTACCTGCCTCACCTCTTGTGCAGGTAGAATGTCTGGCTGATGGCTGTGATTGAAATACTTTGCACTTGATGTGCTTCACTTGGCAGATGCTGCAGGTGTGGAGAAGCTAAAAGAAGAAACTAAAGACTGGAGAGTAGCATGCGTGCAGTCTTGTAATCGAAGGCCAACCATTGATTGGGTTGTACATCTGCCTGCCGCTTTTTAGGATTCATTTGTGAAAGGCCCCTTGTCCTTGTCCTCTTTGAGCATTCAAACCAGTCTTTTCTGGCCCCCACATCCAAACATCAGCCCTAATGCAAATCTAAGTGACAAATCCCGGTCACCACTTTGCTGCCCCCTCTATTTCTGCACTGTTCTCAGCTTTTCTTTTGGTCGTGATGGAAAAGTGCTTTCCTTGCAGGGCTTGTGGCATCTGGTTTGGGATGCATGCTAGTGGGAGACCAAGCTGGAGGAGTGTGTGTGAATCATGTTTGGTAACAACCATAGTTCAGGATGATCTCATTTCATAATGAGTGTGATTTCCCAGTGCAGTAGGAGGAATAAATTGCCAAAGCTCTACTTGTTAAATAACGTTGTGACTTGTAAAATCAGATAGTAAAGAATAGGCTTTCTGACTTATTATCCCATCTTCATGTCACCCAGTGATGGAT